GTGGTTGCGTTTTGATAGCTCACCATGTGCTCACTGTCACTGGAAAGACGATATTCCGGACAGCATGCAAATATAAAATGGTTGGAGTTTTCAGCACAAAACCGGCTCCACGTGTTCATGTAAAAACAATGTTTGGAAGTCTGAGTGAAGACAGACAGCAGACTTAGGAAGTCAACTATCATGACAGTACATAAGAGGGAAGGCGGGATATGTGACGTCAATGTGAGACATAAGACCTTCAGACTAGACTGGAGAGAATGTGGAAGATAAGGAGGAGAGATGTTATGTGTATATATATATATATAATTGGTATATGCATGCTTAGTCCAAGTATAGATACTACACATATGTGTTTGTTTCACAGCTCCCGTCGGGGTGAAGACGAGGCTGCTCTAATAGCAGAACCAGAGTGTCACATGCACGAACCTACGTTGTGGGAGATCGGCAAGCTGGGAACAGGCGGAGAATAAGCTGGAACAGGCGGAGAACAAGCTGGAAACAGACAGAGAAGGAGGTGGAACCAGTTGAGAAGAAGCTGGAAGAGGTGGGAAAGCTTGACAGTGCCTCACGGCTGTCATAAGTTTTATAACAAAGTTACGTCCACACATTGTTCGTAAACTTATCACCATTATACCACCACTCTAATCCCAGGTGCTCAGTTTTCTAGCTGAAGCATCTCATCACTATCATACCATTAGCCAGTCACTGTTTGTGTAAACACGGTATACTGGTAAAGGTCATCGAACTGATTGTTATTATATAAAGCTGTATTTCAAGCTTTATATTACATCGTTTGTTAAATTCCAGATGTATTCAGTCTTACCTGTTTAGCTAAACAGTTAGATAAAATTACATTTGGCGGGGGCTCTTTAATTATTAATACCAGGAGAGGAGAAAGTCGGAGGGGTTAACTGTGTATCTTGATATCTCATTGGGTTCATCTTGATATCTTTCTATCCCTTCTCCTCCTCCTGTGGGTACCGAGTGCAGCTGTTGTGTATTTACACGACAAGCCAAATATGGCTGTTTTCTTGGTTATCGAGGACTTTGTCTGAGACCAACATAGCTCAGATAATAGTCTAGTTTCTCTGGTGGAGGTGAAGTGTTGAGAGGAAAATTCCTACTCATCACAAAAGCATCAATCCACTTCGGAATCCGCGACAGAAGTGTATTTTCTAAAAGCATAAACATTATTATATGAAACCAATTTGTTATATTCCAAACATCTACTCGTTTTAAATAAAAGAAGGAAAAAGGAAATGGAACTTGGCTATGAACAGTATGGATTTGGGAAAGAAAAGGAAAAAATAGTGCAATTTACATTTAAAAATTAATAGAAGAATTAAGTCAGACAGAAAAATCTTGAATACATTTGAAGTGAAACACAATGAACTGATCAAAATGTTAGATTATTTTACAACTGATCAAAATGAATTACACAACATACTTAGTAGCAAGATGTAGAAGTAGTGACTAAGTTTGTGATTAAAATAATATATGTGTCATATACTGTCTATTTTATCAATTGCTACTGTTGTTTTACTACCCCTAGCAGGCAAGTGTACAGGGTAGATTGCTATTCTTTCTTTTTCTCTTTCACTGTAAATTCCCGCAGAAAGTTCTGGTTTTTTGTCCACTTTTGAACTCTAATCTTGTTCCAGAACTTGAGTTTTGCACATAAATCTGTTTTACATATCTGGCTTATTTATATGATTGCTGGTATCTTGCCTCTCATGCAGATGCATTTGACCTCGAAAAAATAGTAGCATTTTATGATATGCTTGTTAGGGGAGCAATTTGTGTCCATTCTCCCATCTGCTCACCCCCCCCCCCCCCCCCAATTGGGGTCCTGGAATCTGAAACAAAAAGAAGCCCTCAATCCTTAAAAGGCTGGCCATCACTGTTATAGCCCATGCCTCATTAAACATCATGCCCGTCCACAAACTTCTGTCCCAGGTACTGTTGATCATTTATGACATCCATGTTCCTCAGTGCAGTGACCCCGAACTAACATCTCTCTGTGTCTCTCCTGCTTCTATTATCCCACTTTAGTGACAGAAAATACTATTCTGCCCTGGGCGCTTTTGATCATTTATATTACAGATGTTCTCCCATGAGACGATGATGAATTAACATCTTCTTTCTTTGTCTCTCCCACTTCTCTTACCCTTCTCTTGTAGTAACAGAAAGTACGAAAAAAAAAAAGGAATTTGATATCATCAAAACATATTACAAGAGAAGTTAATAAGTGTACATAGTCAAAAGATCCAAATATTTAAAGACAATTCTATTTGAATGAATCTTGAGAGATTAAGAGCATAAAAGGGCAAGCAACAGCTACATTTAAGATAAATTAAGATTATCTAATGTAGTCAGTCACTTTACCTGAATGTCAGCAAGACAGCACTGAAATATTTAAAAATTCTTCTGTAAAGCAGTAAAATTGGACAGTCAATTTACAAACTATTAAGAGATTAAGCTGCAGAGAATGTGATGTCCGAGAGGAATGTTGTGAATACACTGGACACCCTGAGTAACTAACAATGACTGACTAGAAGACAAAAAAAAAGTAACAAGAGTAGAATATGATACAACTATAAGAATGGGGTAGAGTATTTTAGTGATAGTCACATGATAAGAAAAGGGGAACTGGAGAACACCTCATTGACATCAGAGAGCAACAGACAATGATGCTGCGCATCAATGACAGGGAATAAATCATCAACTGATCTATGAGAGACAGTCATAAAAGCATATGCCATCTGGCAAGGCACATCGTGACGATGCAATGCAATGTGAGAATCTTACAGCCATAAGTCACGAAAAATTCTCGTCTTTCCCGATTTCAGACACAGATTCAAAACTTGATTGCTGCAGCTGTCCGTACATGCTAAAGGTGGAACAAAGAAACTCAAAAGCTACTTCTTGAGCATGCACTGTTTGCTAAAAATCTGCTGGCGAAGCTGGTTGTTCTGTTCTTTCAGCTGGTTCATCACTTCTGGAGAATGACAAATTATATAAAATATTAGAAGGCATAATGACAACAAACAAACTCAGTCTGCATCTGTGGCTAAAGCATTGCAAACACGCTTTGTAATTCTAAGTACCTGGTTCTATTCCAGCTGCTGCCAATTTAGCAGCGGACTACATTGTGTTAATTTTGATAAGCGTATTAAGGGCCAACCATTTCGAGGGTTCAATGGCAAACCCCAGAACATAATTTTTCTAGTAAAATTTAAAATTGTAAAAATGCTTTTAATGCAACACCCTGTAAACAAACTAAAAAGTCTGATCATTTTAACTGTAAAAATGACCATTTTGCTATACAATAACAGTGGTTCTAAGACAAAAGAACTATGACTAAATTGGCAGTGACTGGTACACTTGTCTATCAAATTTTGGGATACGGCAGGGAACAGTTTCTTTAAAAAAAAGGAAAATTTTAGCTCCGTTAGTCAAGTTTGTGGGGCACCATCTTGGGTCTGACTTGTCACCACTCTTAGCTTGCAACCACAACTCACCTGGGTAAAATGTGATTGGTGTACAAAATATAGGAAGTAAAAGCCCTCACCGCTTACGCATCTTTGCGTTTGGAGGATAGAAAAGTATTGCGCACAGCAGAGACTTTTTTTTCCACGTTGCTTAGCACAGGGCTGACAACTATTTCCGGGAACATAGCAGCGAAAGGGTTAAAAAGAGTAAAATTTTAGTACCAAGATGTAATGGTAGCATAGTGGGGTTAGTAATCTTACACACTGGCTTAGCTTGCATGTGTTCAAATCCCCATTAAGACATAAACTGTAAAAGATTGGTGTCTGGGAATGTTCTAGGAAGTAAAAGTGACTGACCAACATAATACTACATTCTCTTGGTCTATAAAAGTATGAACCAGAAGAGAAAGGCAGAGATAGACAGATATAGAAATCTGAACTAGCCTAGACAGAGATAGACAGAAATAGAAATCTGAACTAGCCTAGGCAGAGATAGAGAGATATAGAAATCTTAACTAGCCTAGGCAGAGATAGAGAGATATATAAATCTTAACTAGCCTAGGCAGAGAAAGAGAGATATAGAAATCTTAACTAGCCTAGGCAGAGATTGAGAGATATAGAAATCTTAACTAGCCTAGGCAGAGATAGACAGATATATAGAAATCTGAACTAGCCTAGGCAGAGATAGACAGATATAGAAATCTGAACTAGCCTAGACAGAGATAGACAGATATAGAAATCTTAACTAGCCTAGGCAGAGATAGACAGATATAGAAATCTGAACTAGCCTAGGCAGAGATAGAGAGATATAGAAATATGAACTAGCCTAGGCAGAGATAGACAGATATAGAAATCTGAACTAGCCTAGGCAGAGATAGACAGATATAGAAATCTGAACTAGCCTAGGCAGAGATAGACAGATATAGAAATCTGAACTAGCCTAGGCAGAGACAGACAGAAATAGAAATCTGAACTAGCCTAGACAGAGATAGACAGATATAGAAATCTTAACTAGCCTAGGCAGAGATAGACAGATATAAAAATCTTAACTAGCCTAGGCAGAGAAGATGGAAATCTTAACTAGTCTGCCCAAATTAAAAATACAAAAAAAAAAAAAAAAAATGAAACAATCAGTACCAATTTCTTTAAAATACCAGATGACAAAACAGAATTAGAGTTGTAATATCTGCTTCACACTTAGACTGCATTTCTGGGAGCCACCAGCTCCAAGATCCTCTGCCATTTCTGTTTAGGCCGACACAGACGACTATCTGAGGCTCACCCCATGGATGTGTTTCAGGAGTCTCTTGCAGGAGGGTCCATAAAACCAGCACAGAGGCTGCTGATACTCATGATGAGGTATGGAGTATCCCATTAAACATTGCAGAATGGACTCAACTTTCTCTCAGGCCTGTGAGAGAAATCAATGTGCCCCAACAAACGACTTAAAAGTTGCCCCTGGGTGCTTCACTGGAAGGGGACACATTTTCCCCACAGATGATGGCTCACCTTCATCTTTAGATTCTCTATTGTTTCTAATAGCCTGGGATTCAGCTGGAGACTCTGTCGTCCTTCTACGCTTTCCATCCTGCTCCAGTTTTTCAAACAATTTGTCTGCAGACAGCACACCACCTGTAGGAAGCGAAGTATATAATTAGGCTAGATTATTAATCATGCAGAATAGTAATCAAATCAATCAACTTATATCTTGAAGAAAACAAAAATAAGGCATAGATGTATGACCGTGTCAATGTCTGGCTTAAGCACTGCGAGTGTGCTTTGTGGAGCCAATTTTGATCCCAGCTTTGGGCTATCTGACAGCAGACTGCTTTGCACTGGTTTCAACAATGGCATTGAGTGCCGACTGTTCATAAGGGCAATAGGAAAATACTGCATGTAATGTTGCCCAGTGAAATCATAAACAGCCAATAAAATGCTTAAGTCGGTTTTGTAACTTGGTATAAAGGACATGCAACAATTTTTGGTTTGTTTAATATACCAGAGTAGAGAGACAAAGACATGTTTTCTAACCAAGAGAGGAACAAAGTGTCTACACAGTCCCCCTCCCCCCCCCCTCCCCAACTAACCTCAATGAGAAACTACCCGGTACAAAACACACATTGAGATATCAGTGCTTGCTAACTGAAGGATAGAGTCTAAAATCAAATCCATGTCCTTAAGAGCAAAAAGAAAACAACTTCCTCCGTCATGTTCTATCCCCTAAAATCCTTTCAATGCCTCAAGGAACTGAAAAACATATTTACTGCGTGCACATATTTCTGAAGTGTTCAAGAAATAGTTGTTTATTCACCACTTTTTCATTTGCAGCAGTGAGGGACATTTTATTTGATTTGATTTGCACGGGCAGAAGAATGGAGACAGTATGGGGAAACCCAACTGCTGTGATTTTGAAACCTCAACTAACTAAATCCTTTCAATATCGTATATACAGAATTCAGTCTAGCACTTGTGGCTTTCTCTCACCCATGGCTTGTCATAGGGATTCTTTTGGGCATCCCAGCCCACAATCTATTTATTTACAATATTAGTGCCTGTTTTATAATTCTTTGTCCGCCTCATGTGTCACCTCACCCAAAATACTGATATCTTCTGCCTCTTCGCTGATAGCGGTGGTTGTCTAGACATTTCTGTGATTTTCTCATCTTTCTTTAAAAAAAAAATACTCAGAAATATAGTGTCTACACAGTCTATCTCAACCCCAACCAGAAACTGCATGGTACCAAAGCAAATTCTAAAATATCAGCTCTTGCTAACTGAAGGACCGAGTCCAAAACCAAATTCATGTCCTTCAGAGCACAAAGCTAACAGCTCATTCACATCCTCCATCCAGTTCTATCCCATATAATCCTTTCAATGTTGTATACGGAATCCAGTCTAGCACTTCTAGCTTTCTCTCATCCTTGCATTCGTAGTTTCTTTTAGATATTCTGGTTTCCTTAATCCATCTGTATATATATTTATTTACTATTCATTAATATAAAGAGTAAATGCAACTGAAAAGTATAACAAGGAGTATCTATTATCATCAGTAAAGATGCAGATCAATGCTTACAAGTATCCTTAACAGCGTTAGCAGCCTCCAGCACATCCTTGTCCTCATAACCCATGGCTAGAACAGTGATCACAGCTGGGTCTCTTTTCAGTGGCATATTCTTGGTATCTACAATGGACAGAACCAGATCTCATTTCAGAAAGGTTTAGAAATATCATGAAATCATTCTGCTCACAGTGCATTTACAGCAACTCTGTATTTTGTAGAAGTGAAGAGCCTTGAGCCCTGCAAGGCACACAAGATGCCCTAGTCATCCGGTGCACTTGGACCCACCTCCTGATGCCTTGATTCATCTTACAACTGGACTTTTATGGGTCCAGGCAATATAGTGAGATCAACAAATTTTCTCACTAAAACTTCCTCACTAAAACCCATGCTATGGATGGTTTATTTCTTTCTTCTTGATGATGACCATAACTTCTTTCTTTCTGTTTTTAAAACAGCCTAGTTGCTCACTGTGTGCTGTTACAACATCCATTAAACACTGTAGATTATGGTCCTTGTCTGCAGTCAATACTGTTATTAGTCACATATCTTGTACTGCTGATGACATCTTCCCATGATGATTCGCTTCATGCCTTTTAAATGCCTAAATGAGAGAATGCCTCACGAAAGCCATCCTTTCATACAGTAAACTTTCTTCTGCCTCTTTTATCGACACTTGACTGATCTGCAGGGTTATACAAGCATACAATAGTATTAAGTTATCATAAGACAATTCACAAGAATTCTAAAATGCGCATTTTTATGACACACATTTGCCCTCACAATGACCAGCTGTGGGGTTCTGGGGTCTCATTTTGGAGGAGAAAAAAAAAACCACAACCAGCGTATGCTAACAAGAATGTAGCAGATAGTGGCTGATTAGGAACTTACTGAAATCAGAAGATCTGGGTTGAAAGGTAGAGATATCAGAGAGTAGGTGTAAACCCCAACACAATAATCACTCAGCAGTGAAATGTGTCGACATGTACAATATTTGCGGTCTTTAAATACATTACAGTAGCAAAGTGTTGCTTAGTTTTTAAAATAACAAGTTGCATAAACATTTTGATTCTAAATTTATTCAGAAACATGGAGATGTATACAAGTTACATGTTATCAGTTATTCAAAGTGATTATTATTTGCTCTTAGTCTTTTTCATAACCAGAATACAACAAATAGCTAATGTACTTTGATCTAAGCATGTCGGAATAATACATCATGTAATGATGACGTTTTTCAAACAAAAAGCCTCTATGAAAATGTTTACTCATTTCACTGCTGCGCGATTACAGTGCATACATTTTTTGTGTGTGGCCAACCATGTATTATGGAACAATTTAATATAAAATGATATACTCATTTCCTTGAGTATGATTTAAACTGCAAGAAATATCAATCAAGCAAATATCACCTAGCTGCACAGGAGCAGGCTAAATTTGTAACATAATTCTGACAGAGTTACAACATAAAAATGGTCACTAATAGTATGATTCAAAGGGTTAAAAATGATGAATAAAAATAGTGCCTACATCAAATGTGGCAGAAGTGTATCAATTGTTATTGCAGAATTGTAGTTATTATAGGTAAAACAAATGTTAGTCTCCCCATTTCCACAGCGTTAAACACTAGACCTTAGGCCACATGACCTTGGCACAAGGTTAAAGGAGTTTACCGCAATGCCGCTGATATCGCTTGTTGTATTTTCCATCTGGGAGCTGCAACCTATGTCACAGGCATTCTTGTTCTCTGAAGAAAAATGTAAATGCAAGACAACCCAGAAAGCAAACAACAGAGAGGCACACCCGTAACTTGCAGGAAAGTAGACTAGCCCAACCAACTTATCAATGAAACATGACCTACTCTGTTTTGGGAGACTAACGTAAAACTAACCTCATTATAAGTTATATAAAGTAACTTATATCTTGTGATCTGAGAATATCTATAAACTGTTATTTTATGCCAAATCACTCCGAACTGAATCAATGATTAATGTTGTGCAGAATTAATAACACCTGTTGTTAAAAGGGCACACAAGTGTTCACAGTCAAAACGTCTGCACAGAAACTACCAAATGATTTCACTGATAAGCATGCATCTTATATACGCATTTGAAGGATTAATGATACTGAAGTTACAAAGTACAACTGGCCTCACCTAACTGAAAAGATGTTGCTGAACTGCCCATTTTGTTGGTCACCATCTCAAAGGTGATCTGTATTTAGAAAAGTAACAGTGTTACAACAGTTAATATTCAAACAGCAACTGTAATTCTTTAGAACAGTAACCGTTGCCTTCATGAAATACACATGAAATGTCTATAAGCATGAAAACATTTTAAATGAGAGGAAGAAAAAGGCAACAAAGACCAACAACACACTGAATCACTAAAAGATGACCAATGATCACAACAGCTGCGATTTTGTTTGGGTGATGAGCCAAACAACTTTCTTTTATATTATGAACATAGGCTAAAATAAAGAATTAATGAAATAACTTTCTTTCCAAAGGGTAACAGATTGGGCACGTAGGCCTGTTTTACATTTGGCCCTTCCAATTGTATTTTACCTTTTCCCATGTTATGCTCATATAACAATTTTCTTATTATGACATAGACAAAAGCATACAAATATACATATACACACACGCATGCACAGACATACACGCACACTCACACATGTATGCATACAAATCCTCACACATATATGCATACACAGTTATACATACTCATGCAGAAACTATCATACATATACACACACATGCATACCCACACACTCTCATTTACACATACTCATATATATATACATATTCAAATATACACTCATATGTATACCTACATTTATATACATGCATACACACATAAACTAGATGCATTCATACATACTTTACATACATATATATACACACTCAAACACTCACACATAAACCACACACATTCATATGCTCACATTCGAATACATACACACACATGTCCAGACTAGTAAATACACTCCCATTCATTCGAACACACATATTCCTATTACATATAGATCCACACACTTACAAAGACGCCAACACAGACCCTCTTACAAATCCTCACTCATGCACTCATACATCACTCATGCATTCATACATACAGACACAATAATATGCATACATGCACTCACATATTCCAATACATGCCCCATGGTTCATACATAAACACACTCATACACACACACATATGCAAGACAAAGACAATAAACAATCAGGGCAATGACTGAACAATAAATGCCACAGGTAACCATTCACCTGGTCATGGCTTTTATTCAGATCCTGAACAGTATCAACAAACTGCTGCCCCATTGTCTGTCTGATGAATGCACACTTGGGGAACCACCGAGCGTGCTCCACCCAAACATCGTCATTGTCTTCCCAATTCCTCAGCCCGCCCCCACAGTAGAAGCAGCGAGCACAGTCACCATAACCTGAATGAGAGGAAATGACAAAACTGAAAACTTCTGAACCTAACAAATGTAACATTATCTCATATATTAATTTCAGAAGAAAATGTCTTTTACTGGACACAATAAACATATAAATTACATATATATAGTTTTTAAAATTCTCTATTTTTTCTCACACACAAAAACATGTATAAAGAAAGAAGCAAAAAATATAAGAGTAAAAGCAGCCATATACTGGCATATTTAGTTAAGTAACAATAAAAGTAAAGGTCCTTTTTCCAGGCCTTTAGGCGTATAGGGCATACAGGGCTAGACCTATATTTTTATAGACCAATCGGCACAAGATGGGTGATGTGGTCAGCATCACGCCAGCTGCCTTTACTTCCTGGGACTACAACCTTGGTTCCCACTCAAGGCTGGGTCGACCTGGGAGTTAAGGTCATTTTTGAAAAAAATCCAGCTCCGTCTGGGAGCGAACCCACAACCTTCCGATCCGCACATGAGCGTCTAACCGCTACGCCAGGATGACTCCCATACTGGCATAGTACAATCGTTTATCTTCTAAATCTTTCTTCAAATGGTGTGTAAATCTCCCCATGCAGGTTCCAGGGTACCCATTGTGTGTGTGTGTGTGAGGGGGGGGGGGGGGGGGGGGGGGGAGAGAATAGATTCACTGCTCCCCCTAATAAGTATGTCATAAAATTCAACTAATTAATAGTGTTTTCTTCAAAGGAATGCATCTGCCTGAGAGGCGAGGAACCAGCAGTCTGCATTCAAATAAGCCAGATGTGTAAAAAGATGTACATTCAAAACTCCAAAACTCAGGATCTAGAAAAAGACTAAAATCCAAAAGTGGACAAATAACCAGAACTTGCCGCTGCAGTTTACAGCCTGTGAACAAACATACACTAGATGCATTCATAAACACCACATTTATATATATATAAAGATGGACTGTCACATTTTGAAAGAAACTGAACACAACGAGCTGTGCAGAGGAGGCACCGGAGAGTAAAACTTCCTCACAACGAGGGAGTATCTGCTTTTGTGTGTATCCTGTGTGGCAAAGACTGCCATTCCCGCATCGGACTTTACAGCCACAGCAGATGCTGTTCCCAAAGCCAGCGGCACATCTCCATAGTCCCCCGGGACTGACGGATGCCATTATATATATATATATACACACACACACACACAAGATGAAGAAGACTAAACTATGTTGACCACGTGAAACAAGGTATGAGGCATGTCGAACACTGATGATTAAAACAAGCTCATCAGGAAATGAAGAAGCAAAAATAAAGGACCCTTTCCTACGCCTTTCAGGCATATTGGGTATATAGGGCTAGACATATATTTTATAGACCAATGGCACAAGATGGGTGATGTGGTCAGCATCACGCCGGCCACCTTTACTTCCCAAGACTGCACTCAGTACCCACTCAAGGCTGGGTCGACCTGGAAGCCAAAGTCAATCTTGAAAAAAGTCCGGCTCCAAAACAAAGAAGTGATCTCTAAAAATACAAAATAATAAGAAAATACTTATCTTGTGCTTGGAACCTGGAAACAACTGGATATTTAATTTTTATAAATTCTCACTTTCTCCCTCTCTCTCTTTCACTCACAGACTCAAATACATGGACATATAAAAACAAATAAGAGTAAAAGTCAACATACCAGCATAGTAAAATCCTGCATCTGCCAAATCTTCTTTCTTCAAATGGTGATCTCTTGGCCAAGGTTCAAAGGATTCAAGACGTTTTGCCCTGACTGCAAACTCATACCGTTTTGGTCTTTCAGTGATAATGCCTAGCTCTCCATAAGTGGGGTTTCTTCCTGCCCTGGCACTATTCTGGGAGTCACTGGTATTTTGAGAGGGGGTTTCTTGTGACAGAGTGGCACTCTGGTTTACCAAAGTGTTCAATGATGATGGTGCTGCGGGCGTTGTTGAGCTGATCGTAGTTGATGTGGTAACTGATGACAATGTTGTTGCCGTTGAAGAGTTCTGGTTGTGTGAACTATCACCTTGACTGGCTGGTGAAACAACTGTAGCAGATGAAGAGACTGCTGTCTGATCTGACAGCTGATGGACATTTTGGTTTGATGTATCTGTTATCTGTGTCTCAGTGGGCACATTCATTTGACTTCCTTGTGGGGCAGCCACCTGAAGGCCATTCGGATCCGTCTCAGATTCAGAACTGGTGAGGATACTGTTGGAAGTGACTGTAGTCGAAGGTACATCAGAGCTTGTGGGTTGGGAGAATCTTGCTGTGTCTGGTGCTGTCTGACCTCTTAGTGAACTACTTGCTCCCATAATGGTCTGTGTTGCCATTTGGAGATGTGCAGATGTGCCATTCGGATTGCTTCCCGCAGAGTGTGTTGGAGATGCCTGCATACCTTGATTATCACTTTGCTGTCCAGAACCTTGTGAACGCCCCACGGACTGTGCTGGAAACGGCTGTCTACCATGATTATTAGCTTCCTGTCCAGAAACATGTGAAGCTTCCGCACCATCTCTGTCTATGTCATCTCCTGCCTTTTGCCTTGTACTTTCACTTGCAAGCAGCTCTCTGTAGTTGTGAAGTTGGCTAAACAAATGTAGCCCAACTTTCGGCCTGGTCATTGGAACATTGTCACAGTTTATCCCTGTAACCATTGAGCAGTCAGGTGACAAACGCCTGTGCACTTCAGCAATAACATCAGATGGCAGCCAGCCTTGTTTCACTTCACAACAGAAGTAACAAATCACTTTGTCATCGTTGCCCTTGCCTGAACCAATGTAGGCAAATCCAGCTTCGGCAAGCAGAATTGCAGATTTGTTAGCAACATGAGGGTATCGTGAGTATGTATGCAATCTCCACTTTTCCTCCTTCAGCCAGTTCCATGGAATATCATCAATTGCTGGTGGGTGCCATTTTACCTCTGGAGCCATGTACACAAACACATCTCTAATTTGAAAAGCTACAAATGACAGTAAATAGTTCATTAAATCTTCGATGTTTTCATCCACATGTTTACATTCTTTTGTCCCTTCTTCACAGTTAGCAAATGATTTAACATGGCTAATCTCATTCGATTTATCCTTCAAATTGTCTAAACTTTGCTGATCAGTTTCATGTTCATCAATAACAACTAGCTTTAATTTATTTGTGTACTGTGATGCACGGTGCAAACTTAATAAATTCTCAATTGAACTATCATCGTCACTTTCAAAAGCTACCTCTTCCAAATCATTTTCTCTTTTTCCATCTGCAGAGTGGTTATCTTCCTCTGCATCTGTTTCTTCAGAATGCTTTATCTCCGCACTGTTCATAGAACTGATTACCCCTGAACTGATTCCATCCTCACTGTCCTCTGTGTCATCAACATCTGCCTTGATGTAAACATTCAATTCATCACGTTTAAAACCAGGAAATAGGTTTTCCTTCTTATCTGTATTATTTTCATTTTTTTCCAGATCAAATTCACTATCTCTAACCCTTACAGATGATGATGAGACTGGAGAGTTTTCCTCACTGTTCCTGGCAACACTGTTACACATCAACTGATTCTGATTGCCTGTAGTTCCAACTTTCACACCACACGTGTCTGATAAATCAATATCGGAATCACTATTCCTAGTGTAGTATTCTGTTTCAACAATTGCACTATGTTTTGCAGAAATCTCATCACTGTTACACTGATTATGTAAGTCTGATTTTCCCCTGGCAACTCCAAGGTTGCTGGAACAATCAATAGATGTATCAGCCATTTTTGTTTCTGGTTATTCTGAAAAAAAAAAATATAAAGAAATCAGGAACACCAATATAAATCCATGGAATTCTCAAAATTTGGAAAGTGATCACATTTCACTGGCGCACAAAAAAAAAAAAATTACTTGTGTGCCCAACTGTGACATTACCAAGACAGTAGGGCAAAAAGCAAAACCGTAACACATGACTAGGACAGTGACAGCAGGATATAACTTTACCACATGACTAGGACAGTGACAGCAGGATATAACTTTACCACATGACTAGGACAGTGACAGCAGGATATAACTTTACCACATGACTAGGACAGTGACAGCAGGATATAACTTTACCACATGACTAGGACAGTGACAGCAGGATATAACTTTACCACATGACTAGGACAGTGACAGCAGGATATAACTTTACCACATGACTAGGACAGTGACAGCAGGATATAACTTTACCACATGACTAGGACAGTGACAGCAGGATATAACTTTAACACATGACTAGGACAGTGACAGCAGAATATAACTTTACAACATGACTAAGATACTGACAGAGGAAATAATGGTAACACAGGATACTGACACTAAAAATAACTTTAGTTAACACTAAGAAATAACTAACATATAACTAGGACACTGACAAAAGGAAATAACCCTAACACATGAAAGGACACTGAGAGCAAGAAATAACTATGTAACATATGACTAGGACAGTGACAAAAGAAAGTAACAGTAACACATGATAGGACACAGAGCAAGAAATAAGTTAAACATGGCTAGGACAATGGCAAAAAGAAATAACGGTAACACACAATAGAACACAGAGCAAGAAATAAGTGAAACATGACTAGGAAACTGGCAAAAGGAAATAACTGTAACACACAATAGGACACTGAGAGCAAGAAATAACTGTATGTAACATATGACTAGTACAGTGACAAAAGGAAATAACAGTAACAAACGATAGGACACTGAGAGCAAGAAATAACTAACATATGACTAGAAAACTGAGAGCAAGATATAACTAACATATGACTAGAAAACTGAGAGCAAGATATAGCCAACATATGACTAGAAAACTGAGAGCAAGAAATAACTAACATATGACTAGAAAACTGAGAGCAAGAAATAACTAACATATGACTAGAAAACTGAGAGCAAGATATAACTAACATATGACTAGAAAACTGAGAGCAAGATATAGCCAACACAGGACTAGAAAACTGAGTGCAAGAAATAACTAACATATGACTAGAAAACTGAGAGCAAGAAATAACTAACATATGACTAGAAAACTGAGAGCAAGAAATAACTAACATATGACTAGAAAACTGAGAGCAAGATATAGCCAACATATGACTAGAAAACTGAGAGCAAGATATAGCCAACATATGACTAGAAAACTGAGAGCAAGAAATAACTAACATATGACTAGAAAACTGAGAGCAAGATATAACTAACATATGACTAGAAAACTGAGAGCAAGATATAGCCAACACATGACTAGAAAACTGAGAGCAAGAAATAACTAACATATGACTAGAAAACTGAGAGCAAGAAATAACTAACATATGACTAGAAAACTGAGAGCAAGAAATAACTAACATATGACTTGAAAACTGAGAGCAAGATATAGCCAACACATTACTAGGACACTGACAGCAGGAAAACATTAACATATAACACAATAACAATACAAAACAGTTCCATTGGCCTTAATCTGTAGTGTTGTGACATGATTATTCAACACTATAGAATAATACTTCTCCTAGGCTTTATTCACAATACTTAAATAGTAAATAAAACAAATATATAAATTAATCCTTTTATCCTGAGAGAGCAGGACTGACACTTCTGGTTGGCTCCAATCCCCCATAAATGTAATTTTCCTGAAGTGTCTACAATGACTTGCTTACAAGATAAATAGTTAATGCTGCTGGCTGAGTTCACAACTGAGCAAATATTTAGAAGGTTAGGATATGAAGATATTAACAAAAAATAGCACGGGGGGGGGGGGGGGGGGGGGGGGGGGGGGGGCATTTAGGGATGTCCCTTGTAGACAAAAGCTTTTTTTTTAAAAGCTAAGTTAAGGTCAAATTTTCCAGTAATCACGGGGCCGAGGCACGAGTGACCCAATACATATAGTTTTTAGATCCACAGGAGTGTACTTCATTTAATGCTTCACCTTGTTCATGTTTATTGATTATTCCCTTCAAATATCTTAATAAATTTCAAGAGAAAAAATTAGAACATGTCGACAAATTTTTTAAAAATGTATTAATTACTTAACTATATACAAATGTTGTTACTTTAAAAGATTTTTTTCTGGAATTCCAATGAAGCTAGAAGCTATAACTCATTTTTTTTAGTTTTCCTGGGCACGTAGGTAAACCATTAGATTTATGGCAAAAACAATGTTTGGAAATTATACCTTTTTTTTAAAAATTCACATTTCAACTTTTTTAGTACCAAGAATCAACATGTTAATTGGTAAGCCCTGTCTACTTTTTTTTCTCTATCACAGTTATTTTATTTACCCAGTCTATCCAACATGTAAGCTTAGCTTATTTTGATCCACAAAAGTGAGAAAAAAAATGTATTCATACTCAAATACTAGATAGTTTAACACAGATTTTCTTTTTATACAGATAATAGAAAGAGTTGCAGAAATTATTTGCTGATGAAAACCCAGTTTTTAAACAAACAGAAATGGTGATGAACTGAGTTGCACGCAACATACAAACAAAATAAAGACTCAACAGTTATCAATTCAACTTAGCCTAAAATGGGTACCAGGTGAAGTCCTGGAAAGTAAAGGCATCCTATGTGAAGTTAACCACATCAACCATCAAGTGCTGATTGGTCTATAAAAATAGTCTAGCACCATATACCTGAGGTGCAAAAATGGTCGTTGACTGTTTACTTACATACAGATAAATGGAGCATTCTCTATATGTAGCAAATGAACTTTCAGAAGGTTTCTGTGGATCTTGCCTCTATTCTTCTTGTTGTGAAGTATAATGTCAAAGCCGTACTCTAGAATAAACTACCAAGAATAAACTAAAAGAAATCCTCAGGAACTCTCCATGACGATGATCACTCTTATTTAAAATTATTAAACCGGATTCCTAACATAAACATAACATAACCCTTGACCCATTAGAATAGTGGAGGTCTATTGATGGAAGCACTAGCACATAAAACCTGCCATCTTTCTCTGTCTTCTGCTTGATGAATAAGTCATTCCAGGTTCTTCTTTGCCGTCCTCCCCAATGTTTCTTGAAGTACAGTGTGAATTCCAATTTGCTTGTTTCCAGCCCGCTCTCACTTTTCTTTTTAAAACATTTTATTAACATACGTTCTCATAAACATGAGGGGGCATCTACAAAAAAACTGCATAAAGACCCTCCTGGGCCTATACATAATAATTATGATATTGCAAAAATGTAAAACTATGATTCTCAAAACTGTCAACTATTGACGGCAGTGTCGGACATGCGCGCCATTGAATGGTTCAATGAATGCTTCATTTTAATATATTATAATTTATATCAATCATAAACTAGTAACAATAACTTTGGCTATCCCCCGAATAACGGCCCAAAACACACCCTGACAAGGCAAGGCCTCAGTCACATGTAAATTGCGGACTTGTGGCGACTTAAATTGCACACCCGCGACTATACCACTACCGCTGAGAGTATCTCCTGTGCCACTACGTGTGGCAGGGAGCGGGGCTAAACTAAATGGCTGGGACTTAAGAGCAGAAGCTTTTGCATCTCCTGCAGCTTTGCTCGTTGAGTCCCAGCAATCTAGTTTAGCACCGCTCCGCTACGAGATACATAGGTTTTTCATCAATATTTAAGGAGCCTGATACCGTAATGGTAAAAATGCTAAACAACGTCTTTTTAAATTTCCGATATACATAAAATAGCAATAGTTCAAGCAAACAGATATGACGAAGGCTTCATCGCAGAAGTCACTGCCCCCCGAACAGCAACAACACTCAGCGTCTGGGTCTCCTTGACTAGCGGCCATCGCATGGTACCGTTACGCGTTACGGAGTACGAACGATTCACAATCTGAAACTGAAAGGTACCCGGTACATAACAACGTTAGCCCTAATGCTAAAAACTCCAAAGTCTTTTTACATACACATCATATAACAATAGCTCAGACAAACAGATATGATAAATGAATAAATGTTTACATCGCAGAACACTTTGCCCACGGAACATCAACAACCGTTTATCTAGGTTTCCGGACTGTAGAGTGTACGGTGTACGAACGATCGTCTGCCTGCAAGCGACAAGCTTGGTATCGATCTTCCGGTGCTGGTCTGCAATCGTTAGGCATCTCATTGCCTTGCCAGAAAAACAATTCTTTTCACGCCTTCGCCGTATCAAATATATGGTGCTATTCCTATACTTTTATAGACCATTATGGCACCAACTGATATGTTCTGAAACAATACCTAAGTCCCGAAGTGGACGAGCATCCATAACTTTCCGCCGGAAAGTGAACGCGGTGAACGCGAAGAAGACAAAGAAGAAACAGACACAAACATTTGAAATTACAAAGGAATGTTGAGTGTTTAATCAGGCCAACAATTTCAAATATTTGGGGACTGCTATAACCACTGATGGAAGATTTCAACTCAGATTAGGAACAGGATATACCAGACAAAGTGGCATTTTAAAATATGACAAATATTGTATGCAATAGTCTGGTAGTCTTAGTTTTAGCTTCTTAGCAAACGGGTCACCCCATCGTTGCTCCGCTCCTGTGCCAACGAAAAACACACAGAATGTTTATCACAGTCCCTTGTGGAAAGATTGACAGACAGTTGCCTCAGCATATCTAGCATACACACGAATTAAAGCATACGGTAGCTATCCGAAGTGCTAACACAAACAGCCCGACATTAGAAATGCAGTACATCATTGATGGTAGCAGAAGTCACCAACAGATCAGCAGTTGCACACGCAATTTTTTTTTAAATGAAATAA